TTCATTATTTACGAAACAATAATCACTCTTTATTTGAAATATAGAAGCTGTTTAAAGTACTGCGTTTCTCCAATCCAAATGCTCAATTACTACGATCTTTAATAACAGGATTATTATTTAACGTTTTCTTAACATAAATATTAACAAATAAGCTTGAATTTATATTCTGATGTAGTTAAGTAATTATGTTTATTATTTCATATCGATAAAAAACTTGTTAAATTATACAATGAGATTAATATGTTTAATTTTATATTAATTGTAATATTAAGGCAATTAAATGGTTGAGGCTTAACTTTAATTTTTTTAGTACGTATATTTCGAACAATAGCTAATTTAATTATAACAACGAGAACCTTTGACTCGACTTTGGACAAAAATTTAATTAAAACAAGCAACTTTTAACTAGATATTAAAAATTAAATATCGAATTACTCTTGACAGTATTTTGCTATACCTTAGAATAAAATTAACTTTAACTATTTTCGGCTTTATTTATATGAATTGGTTTTGTGTTCTTATTATTTTTAATAAACCTTTTTAATTTAAAAATTAAACGATTGGTATAGTTAGAATTTGAATAAGTAAGTCTNAACCTTTTTAATTTAAAAATTAAACGATTGGTATAGTTAGAATTTGAATAAGTCTTCAAGATTATAATAATGATTTTGAATAAATATTATATATTAATATAACATTAATATTGAGCTATTTTCCATAAATCTTTTTAAAAAAATTGCATTTCCCAATTCAAATTTTTTCACAATGAAAAGTTTTTAACAGTTTGGAACTACAAACAAAAACAAACATCAAATTTATATAATACATGATATCATATACAGGGTTTTCAGTAAGTAAAGAAACAGGTCAATTGTTACAAATAATGAGACAATAGATATACGTCTTCTTACTTACTGAAAATAATAATATATTTGAACATTTTTGAAAAAAAAGATTAATAAATAAAAAGAAAATTAGCTTAAATTAATGAGTTAACAAACGAATACTTTACTTTAATTTTTCACGATGTTTGAATGTATAAATTGTAAATATATAATAATATGTAATAATGTAATTGTTACTGTACAAATTCACTGTAATAGTTTTATAGTTATTTTAAATTTGTTTATTTATTAAACTGTATCTGAAAAATTTATCATTTCAAAGTACACATTATTGAAAAACCACATCAAAGAAATAATTTTTAGATTTATTTTAATATAATAATTTGCGTCACATGTAAAAAATATCCACAGCATATTTTTAAGGCTAAACAAGTTCATCTAATTTTCGTGTAGGGAATACAATTTTAATTGGTTTTGTATACAAAAATAATAATTAAAGCTGTGTAATCTTCAAATAAAAATTACTTTGTAAATAATTAAGTTATAATTTTTTGTATAAATTCACAAAAATTATACAAACGAGCCAATATTTTCAAAACACAATATGCGAATAAAAAAAAATGAAAACAATATTTTTTCTGAACAATTTTAATTGATTGCGATATGAATAGGCCATTTGGCTTTTAAAAATATTTTTCACAAACAAAAAAAATTCAATTGAGTATTTCCTTGTATAATAATTTGTAATAATTTACTTGGTGAAAATATGTTTAGTAAATATAATAAACAATTCAAGTAATGTAGTTGACAACATTTCTGAGAAAATATTTTTAAATGACATTTGGTCTCTATTTAAATAGATGGTATATTGCTTTAAACTAAAAGTGTGCCTACCTAAATTAAATTGACAATCTCATTCTATATCTGACATGCATTCAATATATTTTTATATGATACTAAAAATTATTTATATTATTTATTATTTCAAAATATATTTTTTTATATTCAATGTTATTACATTTTAACTATAATTTACGTATCATTAATATGTCGAACAACTGTTTAGATAGTTTTGAATTTGGTGTTTACTTGTACATTATCTAATTTCAATTCAAAAATTTCCATATAAAGCTGTTTACAATATCCAGATGATAAATTTTTTTAATTTATCATCATTAACCCATTCAAGGAAATTATCGCAACTGTCATTATATTTTGTACAGTATCCATCATAAATTATTATACAAATCATTGTCTTTTTATTTATCAGTATTGTTTTAACCAATATTAACGAATATTTTTAATGTAGATAAAATTGGTATTTTTATGAAAAAATATATTCGCGTTGACCAACGTAACAGCTTATCACTGTAATTTAATCAAGTTTCCAAAATTAAGGCCTACTTCAATTATTATTGGATTGTACTTATAGATTTTATAGCATTACTATTGTTGGTTTTTAAAATTATACTATAGTTATCCTCAAAATAACATTTAGATACTAAATTATATTACTGGCAGGTTAAATACATATTTGAACTTTAAGTTGTACGACGATTATTGATAAAAAAATATGTTTAAAGCCTTATTAATCCTAAATTTACTTAACTTCATTTATTTTAACTCCTAAATTTAGAATAATCTATAGTTTGATATCATATTATCTACACATTTCAAAAATTAACATAAGAGAATTCTTTTGTAAAAAAAATTTATACTTAAATTATATTTTAAGTATGAATTCAAAAATAATCATTAGTATTTCATTATACAAAAATAATTTTTTGAAGAAGATGTTTTTAAAATATAAAGTGTTTTAATCTTTATTTGTATAATTTAATACCATGATTTTTTTGACCTCAGCGGTTTAGTAATTAAACTTGAATATGGAATCAAAATTAAGTCGTACATTGTACGATCACTGATTAAATATATTTCAATAGTGTACTTAATTTAATAATAAGTAAATATCAAAGTTTTAATTAACTCTTTAGTCTTCTAAATAATTTTGCAAGCCTAATCATTTATACTGTTTAAAAAAGTAAGTATCTTATTTCATTAATCAATTACACTGCAAAGAAAATCAAATGATTTAAAATATATTTTAATTCAAGTATTTAATTTTATAATAGTTTATATTATAATGTTAACTAGATTGTGTATTAAGAGAATATTATGAAATTATTTTGTAAGGCTTATTTTCTTTTCAAAATATATGTTGTTAAAATTTGCCTTCTTCCAAAAATTAATCCAATGAAAATATTGTACAAGAGATTTGCATAGTATTAATTTATGATGAATTCAAAAGTCAAAGTTTTAATGCTATGAACACCTTTTTAATAGCCTTCACAAATTTAATTTAGTAAGTCTATGTGATACGATCACATAAAACAAGGTAATTCAAATAAACCTACTAGATACATGAGAATTAAAAAGATTCACGTCTTCTCTCTCTAATATGAACATTAAATTTATACAACGGTTTAGTCTTTATACAAGCACTACTGGTTGTTCTATTCCAAAAATAAATCATAAATATTTAAGTATGTCTATTTGATTAATTAAGTTATTACATCCTTAGATTTTATATATAATACAGTTTTTAAATATAACATTTTAAATAAATTTTAGTTCTAAGATATACATTCATTTTAATTTAAATTGATATTTTAACAAAAGTCATCTTTGAAGTCATCAAGACTACTTGAATCAGTAAATTTTATTTTTGGTAATATATTTTTTTATTACTTTATTATTGTAAAATAATTATGAGTGCATAAATATAATATAAGAAATTAAATTCTAATATATACAGATTACACAGTGTTTATAATTTATAATTTCAGGGTTATAAATTCAAATATACAGAGCTATTTATTAAGGATAGTACCTTCATTTTCTTGGAAACTAATGACAATTTTTATTTTTTGTAAAGAGAAAATATAATTTAATTAAAAAAAATTACAAAAATCTAAAACTCTAGGTTGAAATTTGAAGAAATTGTGAAAAATATTAACGGAAATTTTGCAAACTTTAGCTTTGGCTGCTTATTATTTAAAGAAGAAATGTTATAAAAACAATTTTCTTTTATTTGTCTTAAAGTAAATAATATAATATTTGATTTGGTTTAGATTTAAAGAACGTAGACCTAATTATTAATATTTGAATAAAAAATATGTTCTTTGCGTTATTACTTCATTCAAACATCACATTTATTTGCAGTTTGTTTAAATGTTTATAAAATGCCTACCAATAGAATGTTAGTTGTCTTTTGTATAAATTATGAAAATTTCATTAAGAATTATAATTTTTTTAAACATTTATAGCAAAATTTGTCAAATTTTTACTTTAGTGACCAATTATTCATAGAAGTGAAATTGACAAAACGGATTTTTTTTTTAATATCATAGTACATTAAAAAAATTTGATTTAATTGTGAATAATGTAGATGTTCTGGTATTATGCAAAACACTTTAAAGTCGTCCATTTATACCAAAAATTAAATAATTTTTGGACTAATTGGCCGATAAATCTTACAAATTAAATTTAAGAGTGTTTTTTTTTTCATCTCAAAGTATTTATATTATTTAAATTAGAGGACGTAACTTTTTGGGACATTATCAAAAAATGAAATGAAAAAATATTTGAAATGATGTTTAAGGCGAGCTCCATACTTGGTTAAGATTTATATTTCCAAAAAAATAGTTTCGTCAGCAAGGTCTAAAATATTGTCAATAAAAATATAGTATTTTCCGTCTAGTTTAAAAAAATATTTTAAAGTTAAATGAAATTAAATATATTAATATCGTAGATTTTATAACATTTGAATAATTTTTTGGGGCTTTTTCCTTTATTTTGGGAATTATGTAACAATTATTATAAACGATTTATGATCTTTTGACGTATCGTTGAGCAAAACTGGTTGGTAGGCGTGAAGTTTTCATATGGATAAAAGAATAGAATCACGACATATAAAACCAATAATTTTTCAAATACAAATAAAAGCTAAAATTTTTAGATATTTTTTCTAAGTACAATCTTATTCTAATACCCTATAAATTATAAAAATAAGCTACCCTTGCTGATTTTAGCTCTTGAATAGATAACCATGAGAGTTTTAACAATGGTTGACTTCTTGATAATAGTAAAACGTACCTTAAATGGAATGTGATGGGATAAAAAAAACTCCCGTTTAGCTTTCCACTTTATTAAATCAGATGTAAATCGTAGGACGTAAACTGGACCACAGATATTTACACCTAGATTAGATTTTCGTACTATTAAATTTTTTTAACAAAGGGTATATTTTACTAAATACTAATTAACATTCTAAATAACAGGTAAAGAAAAACCACTGAAATTATAATTCCTTGCTACCGTACTTACTTTCTTATTAAAATAAAAGATGTAAAATATAATCATATGATTGTTGTAATAAAATATTAAACATACCTCAAAAAAACATTGGAGAATTTTAGTTCATCCATAAGCTTTAAGAGAATTATGGGTTACCCTTGTGATTGAGTATGACATGAAAAAATGAATTTATAGAGGATCAATCTCTATATGTATGATTATCTTGCAAAATAAATAATTCTAACATTTTTATTCGCATTCATCACCGTCAATATATGTTACACAACATTTTGCAAAATCAAATAACGTATTGTTTATGTTACGAATTATTCCATGGTATCTATGTACCTTTGTAAGATAAATTTAAATTAAAATAAAAGTGCGATTTAATTAAATAACAAACCATTGAGTTAAGCGTATACTTAATAGAATTATTAAACAACGCATAATAATATTAGTTGATCTCGGAATTGGCATTAAATGTGTATACTATCAAATCAACTTTTATTGTCGAAAATATTTTTAGTTTTTTATATTTATCCTTATTTTTATTTTATTTACATATACTTAATCAAAAGTGATTATTTTTTAAAAATGAGTATTAATAATATATAACTAGAGAAAAGTTATACCACGTTGAATAATAATGTACCAACAACATCTTAAAAGTTTTTAATATATTGCAGTGGACAATTAATAATGTAAGTAGTAATATGAACCGAAACTTATGAAAACGATAAATGATGTGTATATTATAATGGATAATATACTAATTACTCATCTTGTCGACAAGTACAGTTAAATCCATCCATTGTTTCGTACGCAAAACGATTTATACATATTGTCCTTCAGATAAATGGAAACCCATAATGATAGAACATAAGGATAAAACATTATAGTTAAAATTTACAAGTATAATTTCAGCATGATCGACACAATTCTGGGTTTTTTTCATGTCGTGCACATATTCTTTAAAGACCCAAGGGATCCAGCACAGTAAGCATTAAATACTGCAAGATAAATTCTAGGTCAATTATTTCAAATTATAACTATAATAATATTAAATTGGTCTTATAAATTTAAAACCAACTATAAATAAACCATAATTATATTAACTTAATAATACTATTGTTCTAGTTAGTTGTAATAGACTAGATATTGAATGTAACCACATAAAACTACTTTTAATCATCTATAAACCGCTTGTTACAACGAATGTTAAACCAAGTGAATATTAAGATTAAGAACCATTTACTTACTATTAGAAACATACCATTGTAATTATTAGTATTATCTGAAGTACCTACTAGATTTATGAAGATACCATGTAAATCTTCTGATAAATCGATGGCTATTTAATAGGATGGCAGATAAACCTGAAAGGGTTTCTCAGAGAACAAAATGTTGCCACAATGAAAACCATTTGCTAAATTTGAACAATGCAAAGCTTTGTACAAACTGAGTAAATTTATAAGTTATTATTTGAATTATCACTGATACAAGTAAGAAAACGATTAATACGGATTAATTTACAGTATCTAAACTGCTCTTAAAAAACAATAACAGTAATAGAAGATAATTGTTGAGCTATCATAATACTATATGTAGTAAGTTAAAAAAAAATTGCCAATATTTAATAACAATAAAATCTTAAAAATTTACCGCAAAAAATGTTTCTTTTTCAAATATGTACTGAATTAATTAATGTCCTTAATTGTTCGTATTTCTCTGGAATTTTTCCGTTTTTTGTTAATACATATAATGAATACCGTTATTGTTTACCTATATTTATCATTTTTGAATGTATTGTTTTTAATAACGTTATTTAAAAAAATTAAAAATTGATTATTATGTAATTTATTTATAACAAAAATTTTGAAACAATCCCTTTTTATAATACAATGGAGTACAGTTAGTTTTTGACTAGATAGTTTAACCATCATTTAAAATTAATGATCAGTTTAGATCATTAATATTTAATGATATTATTTTTAGGAATATTGATATAAATTTGAGAAAAACTAACATTTGACACATAAAGTAAATAAGTAAAAACTAAAAAAAAATAAAAATCACAAATTTTTTTTCAATCATTCTATTTACTAAATATTCAGCATGATAATTGACGACAAAAAAATTAAAAAAAAAACAAGTTTCTATGAACTAAAATTCTCTTAAGAATAGTGTAATTATTTCTCTGATTTGTAATTACTTTATATTTTTGTTTATAAAAAAAATTAATTAACTTTTTCTTTCAATAATTTAATTCTTAAATAATGCATGTATAAAATTCTAAGATAAATAAATATTTTTTAATAATATTCAACGACTATCCTATAAACTCCCTTTGAAATGGTCAAATTATAGTAGTTTTATTTATTTTCAGAATAAATAACATACTTCATAATTTTTATATGATTTAATTATAATATCTAAATGATAGTTCATAAATAAAAAATGATAACGTTTTAATATTTAAACTTGTATTCGATTTTCAACGAAATTTGATTATTGAAATATCTTTATATAACACAAAACTTTGTGTTATCAAAAATTGAGATTTTATAAAAATTGGAGTGGGTCATAATTATCAGAATATTATTTTGATTTTGTATGTTATCGTTGTTTTTTAAATTAAGTTTCTCATATAATTGAACGTTCATAATTCGTGAAAAATTCATAGGTCATATGTTTCCAGTATCTTAGGTGTAATTAATAGGGATTTCGAAAGGATCTGAAAGTCTAGAAAAATTAGATGAAAAACTTTTTAAAATAAAAATAAACTTTTGAAGAGTTTTGTTCAAGTTGTGCTATGATTAAGACACAAAAACCATGTAGAAAATTCAATTTTTTTTTTGACTCAGAAATTTTTTTTTGATAAATATTTGAATATGTAATTTTTTTCAAGTTAAACAAGCTTTATTTTTTTTTAATTTAGAGTACTAAACAAAAACTAAGATTGTATTTGTGGTTAATTTTATTAATAATGGAATCCAAATATGTCGAAGTATTGATTATTAAACACTTACCGTCAACCATTACAAATGTGGTTTTGCAAATCCGATTACATGATAAAACTGTCAATACTTGACAAATAGCAAAGGGTCTCTTAAAAAAATTATATAATAGTGAATACGCTAAATCTGAGTAATCTTATGTGTGTATCACTCGCGGTAACCGTTCTGTCGGAATGGCAATAGTTGACTGCTCACATTTTGTTGTTCCACGCGGCGCTGCAACCCCTTGAAGGTTATGTCGTACATGCTTGTCTCTTATAGAGTGGCAACAACAACGATAACCATAAAGTAAAAAACACCGTATTAATATTTCGTCTCTTTTGATTATAGCTACTGTAGTGGTCATCCACGTGTATAAATAAATAATGTAGCAAAAATCTCATGTTTTTTTCATTAAAGTAATAATAGCAAAAGAAACAACACATCTTTAACATTCTGTAATAGAACTTGATCCAGGAAGCATGTAATAAAAAATTATCACTTGTGGTTAATTATTTAAAACTAAAATTGTTATATTTAAATTAAAAAAGTATTGACTCAGTAACATTGATACAAGGGAGGCAATAGAAATGTTTAAAAATAAATACAATTTAATTAATTAGGATCTTGGTCCACAGAAAAAATTATTATTAAACTTGTGTAAACTAGAAAAATATGATAATATTACTTAGTGATAAAGTCACTAAGGGTAGATAAGAGATTTTTTTGGTCTGGGTGGAATGAACTAAATTAATAGTTCAAAATTCGTTTTAAGTAAACGAAAATGAATTAATGTCATACAAATTTGGCTTAGCCCTTTTCCGAAGTTTTTATATTTTATAAACTTGAATTTGTTTAACTTCAAAAGTATTTTTAAATAATTTTATTAATGATGAATTAAGAAAAATTTGGTATCAAAAATTTATAGACCTTTTTGAAGTCGCAAGGTCATTGCGATATGATGTTATCATTGAAAAAAGACAATCATTCTTAGTATAATTATTTAGTATATTAGTTTAAATCATAGTTATTTACATAGGCGTTCAGTGAAATGGAAAGTTCTATTGTTCTCATTATTTACAACAATTGACTTGTATCCTTACTCACTGATCATGCTGTATATGCATATTATATGTACGATCAAAATGGTGTATTTTAACTGACAATGATTATTAAATGACAACAGTTAATAATCAATGTTGTAAGAACAGTGAATCCTCGCCATCGAAAGTTTTGCAATACATTTTGCTTGCATATTAAATTGATTAAATACTGTTTAACTATAAATAATATTTGTATTTTAAACCATAAAAATGTTTAATACTATTATATCAAATAAAATTATGAACCCGAACTTAAACTTATACATTTGCTTTAAAAAATTAATTTATTATTATTTTAAACGAATTTTCCTATGTCTGTTTAATAACAAAATTGTATTTATCCTCTGTAAAACCAAAGCGATCACACTGTGATGATAAATTAATTTTTGTCACTTTTTGTTATAAATAAAATAAAAACTTTTATAAAAACAACATTATATAGTTATAAAATGTGAATGATATGGTTTGACTAAATTGCATCGAAACCCCTAAGATATCAAATAGTTTTTGGTACCCTAAAATGAGTTTGAAAACTTTAGTCTCACAAAAGCATACTAACTGGATAAATTTTCCCCTTGATATCATCTGCAGCTTTCTTTACTAATTTGAATTTGAATTGATTCAAACTTAATGTGTACTTAAGGAATGCAAATTTTCCTTTAAGTGATAGTTTAAAACAAAAACTATTGTTTAGTCTTTTAATATTTTATAGAATTATTTTTAGAAAACATAAATAATCTCAATTTATATCCTCTTGATTTAAATCATTTAACACTTAACTTAATAAACTTGTGACCATCAAAATAATAAAATTAATCTTTAATTAAGTCTTAACATTATTAGAAGTCAATCCTAATCTCATGAAAATCTTATAAAAAATCAA